TGGTCAAGTGACCCCATAAATCCAAGAGGTCATATGTCTTTGTCTTTGGTACCAGCCTGTGGTGCTTGATGATAGAAGATGAAATAAATAGTAAACATCACTGAACTAGGTAGGTCAGTGGCTGGACAAACATGTTTCCTGGAAACCAAATGCTCAGATGTGTTATTGCTAAGAAAGAGGACTAGGTATTCATTCCTCAGTTCTGTTGCCACAAAACCATCAGGGAGTGAAAGGGAACCCTGTTTACAGTCTCTAACAACTTTCCAGAGTGGACCCAGGGGGTAGAATAAAAAGCCTGTGGAAGCTATGAGAAGAAAAGAGAGAAACCACCGTTGAAGGCAAAGTGTCCACTTTCCATTTAAAAAACCCTCTCTTTGAACATGGCCTGTTTTGATTTTGATTGGATTTTTTCTGTGTTAAAGCTCTTTATTCTGTGAGAAACTAAACAAATGGCAGTTATATTTACCCTTTTGTACCAATGCTCCTTGTGGAAATGTGAACTGGAAATAGCTCAGTGCCTCGAGACCTGAGAGATGGCCACTTAAGTATATGTGGACATGTCCTTTTTCCCCAAATAAACTTTGATCTATGTCTTTGTTTTTATACCACCTTCATTTCCAAATATATCCCTTTCTCCTCTGCTCCCCAGGGAGCCATCTCCTGTATCAAAGTTCTTGGTTTTGGGTTTTTTTTTTGATATATTGAGCAGAATCAACTGAGACATTGACAGTCTTTGACAGCAAATACAACTCCACATTTATAATCACCCATCTCTCCAAGGTGATAAATTTTCCCATCTCTTCTCCTGGGCCAAGCTTAGTTATTACAATTATATAGCATTTAGTTTGGTGTTACTATTCTTTTCATTTACCTTGTTTCAGTCATTTTGTATATTATTCTTTATGTTCAGATTACTTCACTCTGTATTAGCTCATATAAGTCTTTTCATGTTTCTGTGAATTCTTCATACTCATCATTTCTTATGGTGAAATAATATTCCATCACATTCATGTGCCACAGTTTGCTTATCTATTTCCCAATCAATGGGCATCTATTTTGTTCCCAGTTCTTTGCTATCACAAAAAAAAAAATAGTACTTTTCTATCTTTGACCTCCTTGAGGACTATGCTTAGTAGTGAGATCTTTGGATGAAAGGGTGACATTTTAATAATTTTCCCCCTCTCCATATAATTCCAAAGTGTTTTTCAGAATAGTTGGACTAAGTCACACCTCCATCAATGGTGCAACTGAAATCTATGCAAACATGTAGGTCTCTGTATGAAATCACAACCTGGTCACAAACTATGATGGGACAGAAGCTTGCATTATTTTCCTGAATTCTTTAAGAGTTAGAAAGTTGAATTCTGAGCTCATCCTACAGGGTTCCTCTTCCCATTTCCTCCTTTCATCACAAATACATTTGTTGTCTTCCCTATTAGGGACCCCCCAAGGCAAAAATCACTCACTCACAAAGTCCTCCCTTTCTCTTCCCCTAGATGGACCCAGAAAACAGATTTCAATACACAAAACCCTACGTCAAATTCATTTAAACAAACATTAATTAAATACCTACTATACGCCAATCATTGTAGATAGAGACAATGAAAATAGTCCGTGCCCTCGAGAAGCTTACATTCTGTGTGTGTGGAAGGGTAAGGTGGAGTGCAGAGAATTGCTTGTGGATGAGGTGTAGTTCTATGTAGAGGGAAGTCAGTCCGCCAATTTACCAAGGAGATCAAGGGTATCGGACGTGGTTTCTATTTTGACAACAGTGCTTTTGGGGCCCCTCAATCCTTTTTCTCCTAAACACGTCAGCTTCTGGTTAACCTCATCCTAGTTAGGCTCACTAAAATAACAAAAGAGCAGCCCTGCTCTATAGAGGCTAAGGGCACAGGGTAGCCAACCGGGGGTGGGGAGGGTGGGGGGGGGGTTCAGACTTTGTTTTCTTATACTTAGTTAGATGGGTAATGAGAGATCTATACTTTTCTGTTCTCCGCAGGTCACCGAGAGACAATTTTTTGCAACTGAGAAAAAATAGTTCTTCTGAAGGCCTAATAATAGGTTGTAGTAGGCACCTTCACATTTTAAAGGGATTCTCATAAATTAAGTTCAGCAAGAAAGGCAAGGTGAAAAAAGTGACTTGAAGAATTGGCTATTTCAAAGTGTTGAGCTAAAAGTAATGTTGATTATGTTGGGGAAAACTGCCACACACAGCACGCTGGAATTCTGGTGCACACTGTATTTTAATTAAAAAAGAAAGAAAACTTAACAATTAAGTCATCACGTTACAAAGAGGGTTTCATTGCACCAGAAGGGAAAAAAGACACCTCTCCCATCTCTTAAAAAAATGTCCTTAATGTTTCTGGGTCTGTAGACTATTTTCTTCCCAGGGACAGGAGGTTATGACCACAGGTCTTTTGGGCTCCAGGATAGAGGGAGAACTTAAAGAAGGCATGGGGGGGGGGGGGATTGAGATATTTTCAAAACATTAAAACCTTGTGTCTAGAGAATTGATATTCCATGTCTTTAATATTTAGCACATGGGAGGATGTGAACACCTTAGAACAGTTTAGTGGCTACGAGACATAGACGGTGTGTGCACGTCCACCTAATGAAAAGAGGCTTGGGACAAGAACAAGAGGTGAAGTTGCGGATTTTCATCTTAATTGGATTGGGAAATGCCTTCTAATTAGGTGTCAGGAATTGCTTCCCCCTTCTCCCCTACAGCACCTAGGCATCTACTCACACATCTCCTTCCCCTTCATCATCCATAGAGTAAGCTCAATTGCATTACCCAGCTGTAATCGTAGCTGTGCACATAAAACTGATTCAAACTCACATACATGCACACATCCACGCATGTGTGTGCTCAGGCTTGGACTGGTTGAAATCTTACCAGTACCACTCACAGGTATGAAACCACCTTCTCCAGTAGGCAGGCTAAAGCTCCCCAGGGAAACTTTAATTCAAAGGGAACAGGAGAGAGAGGAGGCGGGGGGAACGGGGGCGGGGGCAAGTGTTTGATGATAGGGGGAAAAAAATCGACTGCGGGGCTTGCAGTACTGAATACAGCCAGAATGCTACACATAAACTTGCATTCCAGTGCTGGGGTGGGGGGTGGGGGGTGCAGAATCCGGCGGTTGGGGGTGGGGCGGAGGGCGAGAGGAACGGAAAAAAGAAGCAGGGATTTAGAGAAGTCAAAAACTCAAGTTGTGAAAGGAGAGAGGTCAGCACGGGAAGGGTTAACGTAGGGAGTGGAACGTGCGGCGGCTGAGGGCGGCGACCGAGACCAGGGGTGCTGGACTCGGTGGGGGGGGATGTTGGGGTGGGAGGGGGTCTGTCCCTTTAAGGCTCCTCCGGCACTGTGGGGATTGCTGGGCTAATATGATTGGGGCGGCGGGATCACTTACTTCTGACGCTCCAAAGCCTGGGGGAGTTGGCTCGAGATTGCTTCTCTTTGATAAGGTCCTGGTAACTTAGTAACAACTCTGGGGATTAAAAAAAAATAATAATCCATAAAATGGATGTAAATATCTGTATTCTGAGTGTCCAAACTCCTTTGCAAAAAAAAAAAGGCCATGTTTGCATATATTAATATGTATAGTAATGTATATGTAATGTGCAATGGAATATCCTCATCAAAGAAATGTTTTGAGGTGGGGCGGTAACCCCAAATTATAACACCTCTCCTCCCCCCCCCGTTCTCTGCCTGGAATTCAGGTTCTTGGCTGCATTGAGGGGGCTGCGGCAGGAGGGGAGGAAAGGATTGGGGTAGCTCTCAGATCCGCAAGGGGTTAGGAGAGGGCTGAAAGGGGAGGGGGCTAGACCAAACTGTGTGTGTATGTATGTATGTGCGTATGTATGAACGTACGTATGTATGTGTGGTGTTATGTTCCAGAGCTGTGGGTTAGTTGAAGGGGACAGGGGTGTTGCAGAAAAGCGCTTATCTCCCTTTCAGGACCCTGCTTCTCGGCTCCTGCCTTTGATGTGCACAGTTAAACCCACAGCTCAGTTTTTGTTGGAATAGCCCGGAGGACATTTGGTGCATGGAATGACTGCTGGAAACAAGACCTGTGTTGAAAGAAGGGGAGGGAGGGGGGTTCGAGGGGGAGGGAAGGGAAGCTGGGATGGTGGTGGAAGAGGCATCGGATCTTTTGCATAAAAAGGGGTGGTGGAGCGATCCCATTCATCCCCCCCTTTCGGTTAGATTAAAAAAAAATTCATACATTACTCTTTAATTCCCACCCCCTTCCTTACCACCGCCACCCCCCACCCCGCGTTCCCCCACCAAAGCTGCCCATGTTCTCTGATGCCTTCGCAAAGCTGGGCACGACTGGGGAGGTTGGGTACGGAACCCGGGTCCTGGCCAGGGGGCCCAGTGCTAGGAGCCTTCGAGGTTTCGCGGTGGAGCAGACTAGTGGATCCACGGTAAGTTGCAAAGAATGCAGTGATCCCGGCGCTGGCCCCTCTCTGGAACCCTTTGATGTGCTCTTGGCTGAGGCTTTGAAGTTTTTCAGGAAAGCTATTTCGGTGCTCGCTCCCAGGCAAGCAAGGAAGAGAGCGGCGGACTGCGTAGGGGAGGGGAATGTTGGGGGCTGTGGGAGTAGATTCTCCGGGAGCCCTCCCCTCTGCCCCCTCTCCCCAATTCATGATCCTAAAGCCGAAAGATCTATGGCAAATACTTATCCAAGTGGGGAAGTGTGTGTGTGTGTGTGTGTGTGTGTGTGCGCGCGCGCGCGCGCGCGCGGGGGGGAGGGAGGGGGAGGTAGGGAGAGATCTTTTTGTGGTCTGATTATTATCATTATTATTTATGTGTGCGCGCTCCACCCCCCCGCCCCGCGTCTGCGTGAGTGTTTGGTAGGTGAGATGAAAGGATGGCAGTTCTCGTACCCCTCCACCCCTTTCTTACCCCCACCCCTTTCTTGCCCCCACCCCTTTCCCCTCCTCCCTCCTCCCCGTCCTCCAGCTACTCCCTGTGAAGTCCTAAGGGGCCCAGAGAGCTTAGTTAGGGGGTCAGTAGTTGCTTAGGACGCGAAGGAAGCAAGTGGCTTAGGAGTTTACTGAGGGTTTTTTTCCCCTCACTCTCCTTTTCCGCCTTAGATCTCTACCCTTTTTTTTCCCTTTAGTTTTGTTTTGTTTTTGCAAAGAGGGAAAAAAGAGAGACTACCAGCCCCGTCGCCATTTCTGGAGTTTTATTATTTTTTTTCCTTTAATTTAATGTGTGTGGGGTGGTGTTTAAGGATTGGTCCTTTTGAAGATTCTTCTTCTCTTCGCGGCCCCGGTACCCTGGCGCCGGTTGGATTGTAAAGACTGCTGCTGCTTTTCCTCCTCGTGTCTTTGGTTCCGAAGGGAAAGGGTCCGGTTGCCTTTTTTTTTTTTTTTTTTCCGAGAGTGGGAAGACTCTACCTGGGGAAACCCTTCTTGGAGGAGATGAGAACCCGACTTCGCTATGCCTTCGCCTTTCAGGTAGATCTGCTAGCCAACATTTGGATTTAACCTCATTTTCTTTTCCACTGCCCTTCTGCCAGCTCCTCTCCCCCTCCCCGGCTTCTTTCGCCTCTGCTCTCCCTCCAACCCTCCTGTAGTTCCTGGACCGAAGACCTCCAGATCAGATGGCTCAGGTTGCGGTACTCCAACATCCCGGAACCCCCCCACCCGACGCCTTGGTTCTCAGAACCGCACACCTCCCCAGTGTGTGACTGAGGCCGTGGGGTTCCTACGTAGGGGACCTCCCTCCAACACCCCTCACTCCCCGCCGCGCTTTGGTTCCTAGCACCGCAAACCTCCCTTTGGGATGGCTGAGGCTGTGGGGCTCCAACATCCCAGACTCCACCCCCAGTTCCACTCCCCCCCCCACCCCAGTTGGTCTCCAGCCCCTGCGTCTGAGCGTCCTACCCCTTGGAGGCTCTCATGTGTACTTGATCGGTCTGTTAGAGGATTTTCTGTATTTTATTTTTTGGCGGGGAAGCCAAACCGAGTTGGTGCGGAGCTTTTGATTCTTCGTGCAAAGCTATAGAGAATGTCTCCACCCCCCTCCCCTTATTTGCTTCTGAATTCTTCATTCTTCTGTTCTGCGGGGAAAAGGTGTGTGTTTGGAGTGAGAGGGTGGGAAGGAAGTTGAGCCGCTTTGGCTTCAGAAAAAGTTTGGGGTTAGGGAGGTAATGAGTTGGTCGGTTCTCTGGTGTGTGCTGGGGTGGGGAAGGGGGAAGTGGGCGGGAGCGGAGGGCGCTGCAGGTAACTGTTTATCCCTTAAGGGCTTAAAGTATCCTTTAGGTTTGTGAGGACCCGGTCGGGGAGTTGGGGTGGTGGTGGACATTTTAAAATCAAGGTCTGGAAGCAGCTAGAAAATTGAATCTTTTTGAGTTGGGGGTGGGGTGACGGTCCGCAGGCAGCATCCACGATGTATGTTCCGTGCACAGCAGCTTCAGCAACGGACTGGGAGTGCTCCTTTCTGGGGATCATAATCTGAATTTTTAAGGAATGAGAGAAGAGAGAGGAGTGGAGAGGAAAGGAAAGGGGGTGTGGTGGTGAGGAATGGGAACCATATGCGGGAGGAAGAGCACGTTTCGAGTTCTCTGTACCCAAAGCCAAGTTGGGGTAATTGAGCGAAATTGGTTTCACCTGCCAGCGACCTGCGATTTCAACTTTGGGTCTCTCGGATGTTATCAGGACAGGGTAGAGGAGGAAGAAGGAAGGAAGGAAGCAAGCAAGCAAGCAAGCAAGGGGCGGTGAAAGCTCCTTTGGAGACCGGGCTCTTTGCTGTATAAGGTTCGCTGGATGGAGTGGGTTTATTGAAGGTTATTTCTTCAACCCTGTCTTGGTTTTTTTTTTTTAAAACCTCCTAACTGGAAAAGTGTGCAGGGAGTTCAGGTTTCTCTTTTGAAATGGTGTATCTGATACTTTTGATTAGCACATTGGAGATAGCTGGGTTGCCTGATTTGAATGTGAGGAGTTGAAAAGCCTGTTTACTTTCTCCCTTTGATGTTGGGTGGATCTGGTTTTGATTAGATCAATACCCTTTTCTCTCTCTCTTCCACCGTCCCTCCCTCCCTCCCCCCTTTTCCCCTTGCAGAGAGAAGGTTCAGAGGAGCCTTTGCTGACTTGAGTGAGAAAGAGAGAACGCGCTGATTGCAGAGGAGAACTGAAAGAGAAGAAACTGAGAAACACTCCATCGCCATGAGTAGTGCTGTGTTGGTGACTCATATCTCAGACCCTAGCAGTAGCTTCAGAGAGGATGCCCCTCGACCCCCAGTGCCAGGAGAAGAAGGAGAGACACCACCATGCCAGCAGTCTGTCCACCTTGGTCAGGGCAAGAGCCCAGTCATCAAAGCTGTGCCTATCTCTTCCAACGCTAGGAGGAATGAAGATGGCTTGGGGGAGCCTGAAGGCAGGGCATCCCCAGACTCCCCTCTGGCCAGGTGGACCAAGTCTTTACATTCCTTGTTGGGTGATCAGGATGGGGCTTATCTTTTTCGGACTTTCCTGGAAAGGGAGCAGTGTGTGGATACCTTAGACTTTTGGTTTGCCTGCAATGGATTCAGGCAGATGAACCTTAAGGATACCAAAACTTTAAGAGTAGCCAAAGCAATTTACAAAAGGTACATCGAAAATAACTGTATCGTTTCCAAGCAGCTGAAACCAGCCACCAAGACCTACATAAGAGATAGCATTAAGAAACAGCAGATAGATTCCATCATGTTTGATCAAGCTCAGACTGAGATTCAGACAGTGATGGAGGAAAATGCCTACCAGATGTTTTTGACTTCTGATATATACCTCGAATATGTAAGGAGTGGGGGAGAAAACCCAGCTTATATTAACAACAGTGGGCTTGGGAGTTTAAAGGTGGTCTGTGGATATCTCCCCACCTTAAATGAAGAAGAGGAATGGAGCTGTGAGGACTTTAAAGGCAAGGTTTTGCCTACAGTGGTTGGCCTGTCCAGCAAAACTCTAAGGGCTACAGCAAATGTGAGGTCCACAGAAGTTGTTGAAAATGGATACAGGTAAGAACTTTTGGGAAATAGTGGCTCTGTGAACTTTGTATTTTTAGAAGAAGTAGACTGAAAAGCCTTTCTGAAGTAGGATACATATTCTGAGTCTTACACAGCTTGTCACTAGCACCTGTAGAAAGGACTGGGAAAGAGTCACTCACACCATAATGAGAAAACACTGTCTCAAGGATTTGTTGATTCAGCAGCCTGTTACAATCAGCTCTGTGATCTTGTTCTTTGATTAAAAGAGGGTGATGAAGTTAGAAGCATGAAACCTAACCAGCCTCAAAAGCTCTTGAGGAATAGTCATTAATGTGGGTTAGCTCTTTCACTGTGCTGGCGTTTAGAGTTGAGTGAGAGTAAAGCATTTTTAAAAGGCCTCTGAATCACCAAATCCACTAAGCCACTATTTGTGGAAGAGGTCATTCTGCTGTCCATCTGTATGGAGCTTAATTATACAAAAAGGGAAGCAGCTGGTGGCAGAGCAAGAAATAACATGCACACTTACATTACTTTGGTTAAGCCATATAATTTGGACTTTCATAGGTTTAGAGCCTATGAAACGGACCAGCTTAATGTTAATAGATAACTGAGATTGTGGCTCATTTATATTGAATTAGATATTGCCTCAAAATAAAATTCTGAGTATAGAGAGGCTTCTTATATTTTCCAATGACCTTTGCTTTTGTTTTCTGATGGTATATTAGCTCATTTTTTTAAGTACTTGTGAATTTAAAGATTATAGTTTAGTTCATGAAGACTTTAACCCAAAGTGTGGATGTCTCTGGGGTACTCTGTTGATTCAAAAGATAGTCATTTAGAAAATGGCCAAGTCTTTTAAGATACTTTATCTTTGGAAAAGCTTCTAACCTACCTGTTCAAATGACAGGTCCCCCTATGTTTTTTTTCCCTTTCCTCTTTCTCTTCCAAGTGGCCTTCCTGAAAGTTGACCTTGTAATTTTAAAGTATTGTATCCAGACTCAGAAGGGAAAAGGGTCAACAAAATAGTGAAATTTTTGACCTGCTGGGTCTGTGCTCTGGGCTACTGTTTCCTTTCTAGGTATTTAATTTTAACCATTGTTGTGTTTTTAATGGGATGCACTTGGGCCTTTGGGAACTAATAAACAGGTAAACTAAATGATGGATGAAAGGATGAAAAGGATAGAGAGTGGAGCCATGTCTTAGTTGCTGTTCTTATAAACACCAGGCGGGTACCTTGAGGGGCTTCTTGTCTATTACCTAGGTAGACTGGGGGTGGGGATAACAGCACCATCTCCAGAGGTGGTATATATCAAAAATGGAAAATAAAGGATCCTCTTGTTTTCCTTCTTCAAGACCTTGAAGAATATTTTTCTGGATGGTTGTCATTGCACAGGTGATTTAAGACCTCTTGGATACTGCCCATATGCTGGTTAAATCTGTCATCCTATGATCCCATATTCAATTAGGTAGTCTTGTACTGTCACTTTTAAGGGCTTGGTTTTCTGCCTCTGCCTCCCAGCCCACTTACCTTAGAGAGGCCTTAACTTTTTTTTGTTTGTTTGTTTTTTTATGTTATACCTTTGTATGTTAATCCCCAGGTGGTCTTGTCAAGTCTATTTGAGAATGATTGGAAAAGACTTATGTAGTCTTAGTATTTAAGCTCATTGAAGGCAAGTTGTGGCCAGGTAGAGCCTAGTCTATTGGGGGGATGTAATATGGTTGGCTCAAGTTGGGTTTGTACCAGGTTTAGTTGGAATTAATGTTCTGGAGTGTTGAGTGGGAAAAGGAAGATCCTGGTCTGTTTATAATGCATCTAGGGCTGCCTTCTGTCTGGGTTGTGGGGCATGGGAGTTAATGCATTCTCTTATCAAATTTTTCCATGACACTATTGATTTTTTTGTCTGCATTTACACATCACTACAACCTTTCCCTTCTTGTGGAGTGGTATTTGGAGAATTGAAGTATTTTATATATCCTCACATTAATTTAGGCCACTTTTTTCACTCCATAAATTCATTGTCAGAGATTCTGATGACCCAAACTTGAGCTGTTCTATCTTGTCTGAGGGTTATTTTTTTTTATGGGGACTAACGCAAGAAGCTTCTCTCTGCAGATGAGTACCATCAGGGCAGAGTTTAAGTAATGCTCCTGGGGCACATTGAAGTTCAGTGACTTGCCCAGTATGTGTCAGGCAGGACTTGACTCCCAGGCCAACCCTCTATCCCCTACACCACACTGCCCATCTGAAACATTAAATTATCTTAATATGTTTTGTTATGCCTGGAATGTTGGATGACAAGCACTTGTAGGATTTCCCTTTCTTTTGACTGAAATAAATCTTTGGACCATAGTAGAGTTCTGGAGGGTCCTCTCCCCACTCCACCCCCACGTTTATAAAATGTAAAAACTGCCCCAAGGCCTAGTCAAATGCCCATAAACAATATAGTCCAACTTCTTTATAGATTGTATAACTCTTCTAGCTGTTTACCTATGCACTGTTATAACTAGAAAAATTATAATTGGCATTTATCTTGGGTTTTAAGGTTATAAAAAAAGTGCTTTACCTAAATTCTCTCTTGAACCTCAAAGCTCGGTAAGGTTAAGTGCTACAGGTAACATCCATCTATTTTTTTAACAAGAACATAAACACTTGTTGATAAACAAGAAACTGAGGCTGAGAGGCTAAATCTAGTAAATGTCTGAGATGGGATTTGAACCTGGGCCATTTTAAACTGTTTCCAAATTTCTTGGTTCCATTCACTTTAGTAATGGTTAGATGAACAAAAATGGTCCTCTTGGGAAAGAAAGACTATAACTATGAATATGGTTGGGTACTCTGTCTTTCTGGGAAATATACATAGTAAATGCTGTAAGTTACAATGACTTTTGGTAGGACTGTTCTTTAAAACAAAACAGTGGAAGTTATATGGAATTAGGGGTTTAGGGTAATGCATTTATTTTGGAAAAGAGCATCCAGAGAAAGTTTAGTTTGGGGTACAGATTTTTATCTCTACCAAAGAGCACTCCATTGTATTCCTTCTTTAGAGTGCTGCTTTGGCAGTGTTTGTATATTCCTCTCCAAGGTAGACTCATCTGCCTCCCATTAAATCCTCTGTTCTAACATCAGTGAGCTTGGCCTTCCTTTGAAATAAGTTGGGCCAAGCAGATGGCCCTCTACTGGCTCAAAGTGCTTCCTGTCCTTTGAAAGAACTCACTTGATGAGGCCCGACTTGTGTGAAGCTATTGGAACCAAGTTTGGCTTCAATTACCCTAGATGCCACAGTAAAGCTATGCTAGGACCAGCATTCCATGATTAAGTTAGAGAAGAGGTCCTCTGACTGCCTGGTAATCTCTAGGATATACTCGTTTGTGTATTTCTCAATAACCCTAATTGCCCCCTGATGTGTGAATCCAGGAATATATTGAATGCAAGTTAGTGTGGCCTCAGGAAAAGAGGGAGTGTGCCTGCTTTTATGCAGCAGTCTTGTTCAATTGTCAGAGTGACTACTTGAAAGCCCTAAACTGACAGGGAAAGACTTATAAACAAATACTTTAAATTGCATTGGTTGTGATACGGAATCCAGAAGGGCCAGCTCTATTGTACTGGCTTTGTAAGAGGGGCCTTTGCCATGCCCAGTGTATGGAAAACAACATGCTGTGTGTCATGTTGTCAAGATAAGAGATAAGAATAGTCTGAAAAAACAATAAGACTTTCAATCTCCAGAGCGCCTGCCACCTGACAGCTGAAATCGCTTTGCATATTAAGGTTGGAGATTGAGTTGAGTGTGCAATATGAAATTTGCATCACGGGCTACCATTTTCCATAGGAATTTAAGATCCTTGCAGGCAACTTGATGCAAAACAGTACTGGAGAGAAACAATCAAGCCATCTGGGTACAATTACTGTAGCATGGTCAGGTTTTTCTTTTTTTCTTAAAGTAATTACAAGAAAACAGCCTTAATCAGTTTTCTTAGAGTATGTAGAGATTTCTGCAAAGTTCTGCGTTCTTAAAAACTGAGCTCACTTTTCTCCCCCCCCAACCATCTTGTTATGATTATAGAAAAATTCCAATACTTTTTTATTCCAGTTAACTGAGTTAGGAGCAATATACTCCCATTTTTAATTCCTGCTCAAACAGTAGTCTAGTATTTTGGAAGTGAAAGGAGAAGGGGGTTTATTTTAAGAAGTCCATGTGTCAGTTTTCAGTGCAAAACTTTGAGTGGTTTCAAACGTGGATGAGTGAACATGTGATTTTAGTCAAATGGTCTTGTACAGGAAGGGGGAAGCCGTGTGGCAGCATCACAAAGAGGAGTTTCTTGGGGATGTAGTTTCTGCCATTTGGTTGGAAATTAACCAGTTAAAATGACTAATTGTTGATCTATTAATGTGAGAATGATGACAAAAGTATAGGGGATATAAGAAGGTACTTAAGGGCTCTCTGGGTACCTGTTGTTCATCTTGCACAAGACCCAGTGGGCTTTCACAGTAAGAGCTAAAGGACTGGGACTCTAATATTTTCAGTAGTATTCCCAAGGTCTCTCAGGATTATGGTACCATATACAGAAGAGAAACTCATTAAATTTTCATCACAAAGTGCTTGAAAATGGAAAAAGAGATCATGGAGATTGTGTGGGACACCTGTGGAAACTGAGGCAAGAGACGTGAAGAGGCTTCCTAGTTTATCATCAGCTCTAACACTATTTACAGCTGTCATAGATCCTGCTTTTAAGGTTTGCTAAGTGCATGGCTACATGACAACTCAGTGAAAGTAAATGCTAAGGGTATTTTTTATCCATGTTTCGGGTGAGGAGACTGAAATTAGTTTGACTTGCTCAGGGCACATAATAGCTAGTAACATTTGGGGATGAAATTGAACCCAGATCTTCCAGAATCCAAGTCCAACACCGTTATGATTGTTAGCCTAATGTAAGTTTGATTTTGATTTAAAGACTTAAAAATAATCAGTGGTTCTGGTCAGGATGGGTTTTTTACACAGTTAACCCATTTAACCCATTCTCCTGTTTCCAGGTAAGGCTATGAAACCATCCTAAAGAATTTAATCTGTTTTAAAAGAATTGCAAGGAAAATGATGTTTTCCCCATTCTCTCTGTGCTCCATCCCCCAGCTAGTCTATTTATCTACCCTAGCATTTTTGTAGAATTCTTTGTTGCTCTTTTCCCTATCCCTATCCATTTACACTTCTCTCTTGTTCTGTCTTCTCTGAAAATATTAATGAATGATAGTTCATTACTATCTTCAGTCCTCTTTTCGGGATCCTAACATACTTAAAGATTTGTCCAAATCATCCTTCTACCATTTTTTTCCAGGCTGAATCATTACAATTTCTTCAGCATTGCCAACTGGATCTCATTATCCAAGCTTGTAATAATTTCCAATGTTTTGTACTAATTCCCTACCCCGTTCTCTGTGTCCTTTTATATTAGTGAGGCAGTGGTGTAGTGGAAAAGAATCCAGGACCTGGAGTCAGGGGAGACACAGGTACAAACTACAACTCTAATGCTTACCAGTTGTTTGACCTTGGATAAGTCATGTCCCTCATCTGTAAAATGAGAATAAGTCTCATAACATTCACCCCACTAGATTTCTATGAGGAAAGTGCTTTGCGGACCTTCAAGTATTATATTACTACAAATAGTTGTTAGTGGAGCCCAGAAATGTGGGGTATAATTTTTTTCATGTGAAGGGGAGAGAGGCTGGCTTTTATAATTCTGGTATGTTTACACAATACTTCTGTTTGTGTTATATTGTCTGTTCCCCTTCAGACAATTGTGCACTCACTTAAGGATTGTGAGATCTCACTTTTAATTTCTTAGTCCACTGATACATGAGAAGAGCATGGAAAGCTAAAATTGGGGTCTCCTGGAAATTGGGAACCAACCTCAGATCTAGCTTCTGTTCTCTTGTTAGCCTTGTGACCTTGGGCAAGTCACTTAAACCCATAAGTTTATAAATCCGTCAAATGAGATTGGACTCAGATAATAGATTTAGAGTTGGCATATGAGGACTTCTCAACTCTCCAACCATATCGGAAGATCCTTAAAGGCAAGGATCCCTCTAATCTCATGTCCTTATCATTTTTGAGTGCCCCATAGCATCACCCTGCATAGTAGCACCATGCACAAAGATATCCAAATTATATTCGATTGACTTAATTATATCTCTCAGTTGCCCTGTTTTCTAGCCAGAAACTACCAGGGATTCTTAATCTTTTTCTGTTATGGACCCTTTTGGCAGTCTGTTGAAGACTGAATTCCTTGGAATGAGCTTTTTTAAATGCATAAAATAAAATACATAGAATTACAAAGGAAACTGACTATAATGAATTTGTTATGAAAATGTTTTTTAAAAAAATTCACAGATTCCAGGTTAAGAACCTCTGATATAGACTATAGTTATTGCTGTCTGAGCTGGTATGTTCTTTACTGAGCAATAATACTGGTTTTCATCCAAGGACCATGTTCTCTTTAGGATGCTTGCAGACTGATTTGAGATCTTTCTTGGACCTGTTATTAGTCTTTCACTTTTTCATTTCTGTCTATATTTATATCCTTTGTTCTTTTAGGAAAGCATTGATAGGTCTAGCTGAGCTTAAGTATCTCCTCTATTCTTTGTAAGCAGTCTCTCTCCTCTCCCTCACACCCTCCCCCCCAAAGGTCAGGCTTTCATGGGGGAGCTAACTTTAGTCATGCTGTCAGTATTAGCACTGTCCTGCTGAAAGAGGTCCATCTCTACCTCCTTAAGCCCCTTACTGGTCACTCCAGAGGAATGCAGCCCAGCAGGGGAGGAGCACACACTTGTTATGTGAGGGAACTTTGTAAAGACCGAGCTCAAGAGGTTGAAAGTGGGGAGGCAGCCAATGGCTAGTGAAACAAAAGGCCTAGAGATGCAAGAAGGGCCAAGGACTTCTTTCCATTTAAACAGCTGTGCTGCTCACTTTAATCCAGCTGGCCCTAACCATTCTTGGCAGAAGGATGGTGGTTAGTGTGTGTGCATGTGTGTGTGTGTGTGTGTGTGTGTGTGTGTGTGTGTAAAATAAAGAGAGCGGAATAGAGTTCAAGACACACTATTATAATTTTTCAGGGATTGCCTTCCTAGCTAATTCATACCAATTCTCACTGTTGAAACCAGATTCTCTGGTTTGCTAGACTTTACTCCCCAGGCAGGGGGCAGGATAGAGCCTGTAATTTGGACTGTTTGAACTGTTTGGGGCACAGACCCCCACCCCAGCACTGAACCCCTACCATGGTAGTCCTGGCAGAAGTCAGTTTCTGCCAAATGCATAAGGATGATTCGGTGATGGTTAATCTTCCCTCAGTCTCCCTCTCAGGGCATTCATCTCCCTTCACTACGAGGGCAAAAATTCTATTTTTCTCTTTAAATATTAATTTAAAATTTTCTTTCTAACATTCTTGGGAAACTACTCCTTGATCAGCCTTACCTAGGTCAACTCTACATGCCAGTAGGAAGTGGGGCAGAGAAGGGTGAAGGGAGCTAGCCTGTTGTCCCAAACAGTCTGGGAGCAGTTCAGCTGCTACAGGTGGGGCGTGTCAGAGACTTTTGTAGTGTCTTATTTTTGACACGATGGGCATGAGAATGCAGGCCCTCTTGCCTGTGGGTTGGAGTGGTTATAGTGGGTTGGAACTGGGTAGATAACTGCCCTACTCCCCTAGGTCACCGACTTATCTGTAGTTTCTAGGTTAGGTTTCTGACTGGACTGTTGGACTTTTTCTTTTTAGATCCTTCAAGAGGAATGATCCAATTAATCCATATCACGTAAGCTCGGGCCATGTCTTTGCTCCGACAGCTAGCGCCAACGACAGTGAAATCTCAAGTGATGCGCTGACCGATGACTCCATGTCTATGACAGATAGTAGTGTGTAAGTATGTCATTGCCCTCTTGCTGGGGGTGGGGTTGAGGACATGGGGCTTGCTGAAGACACACAACTAGTCTAATTTTTGTTTTGAAGTTCCCATCTTGGGGTGGTTTACTGTTTTGTTATGGAGTGAAAGAGTACTTCTGCATTCAGTACTTTGAGAGGAGATGGCAGTGAACCAGGGTAGTTAGTGCCCCAGTATTGAGAAACTAAAGTTGGATTATGGAATCCTCTGCCTGGAAGGGATAGGTGCTGATCATGTCATTCTCCCCAGGCTTTGCATGAACTGTCTTGAAAGCTAGGGCTCCAACCTTATTCTTTTAATTCTGAATAGCAGGAAAGCAAATGGCATTAGTAGGATTCAGGTTTAGGTCCTCTCTTATTCAGTATGGTGAAAAGAGCTTAGGACTGGGTGTTTGTTCACCCTGGGGTGCTACAAGGTATTTCTGTAAAATAGACTTTTTAGAAGAAATATCTGTACTCAAACATCCAGCTGGTGGCCCATTCTTTCAAACATCCTCAGTGGTGACAAATGTTCCTTTGAGGGTCAGTTTCATTTTCGGAAACAGCTAAAAATATTTCTGAGCCAGTTCTGGGTAATAAAATGGGTAAATTGTTGTTATTGTTGTGTTTTTTAGACATATCTGACTCTTCATGATTTGGAGTTTTCTTGGCAAAGATACTGAAATGGTTTGCCATTTCCATATCCAGTTCATTTTACAGAGGAAGAAACTGAGGCAAATAGGGTTAAGTGACTTGCTTAGGCTCACACAGCTAGTAAGTGTCTGAGGCCAGATTTGAACTCAGGAAGATGAGTCTTCCTGTGGTCCCAGGCCTGATACTCCAGCCACTTTGACACCTAGTTGTCCAAGATGGGTAATAGAGCTGGTTAATACCATTTTGGATCCCAAGTGATGCATAGCCATCAGCCAGTGAGATTTTTCTTGCACATCTCAGTCTCCAGAGGCAATTTTGAAAAATGTTTTGAGCAATGACTGCTCCATAGGGATAAATTTGCACATTCCACAACTCTAACTTATCTGATGAACCACATTCATTTCTTCAGTCATACCTCAGAATTCATTTCACCCACTAGCTGACTACATAATATGAAGTGAGTCATATTACTTCTGAGCCTGAATTTAACTTTTCTGTAATAAGGTATTTGGACCATGTTGATGTCCAAGGTTCCCTTCTAATTCGATAATAGCTCTATCACTGACTCATTGACTTTGTGTCTTCTCTTGGCTATTGATAAAGGCGCCAGAGATCTTTGGGGAAAGTAAAAGTTGTGATGTAATGGGGGAAAGGAGCGTTATGACAGTGTTAGTAGAGGAAGACTGTAAAGTAATAACTATCATCAAACATAGCTGATTTCAACTTGTCTTCAGAGCATGGCCAGGGGAGGGGGGTGTCATTACTTTGAAAATGTTTGATGACAAATCTTTGACCTTTTGAGGGCATATGGGATTTCTCTTAGCAGCCAAGAGTCATTCTGGGCAGATTATGATGAAGAAAGGTGGATAATCAAACTGGTTATGCAATTTGGGGCTGAAATTAATAACTTACTCAACACAATGTGGGGAGGAGATATGTGAGTTAGATATGTGTTAGATATGTGAGTTTTCCAAGTGACTGAAGCTTATCCATTGACATTAGTGAGATGTTTGTGAAGTATTACATACTTCCTGCCTTCTTAAACATAATTTAACATTTTCTTGATGGCTCATAATGGTCATTAGGAACATCATTTATTGCATTGTACTATAACTGAGTTAGGCCAAATGAGAGGTATAGAGCTGTTAATCCATATGATCAGTGACTCAAACGGTTATGCTTTGAGTTTTGGCTCAGCTTCTTAGAATTTTCCTGCCTCCTCTTCACTTACTTTCAGTAGTCACTTCTTCCTATTTTCACAGAATCACCAAATCTTAATCTTAGAAGTCTTTTGATTCAGGAATTTCCTCTCAATTGAAGACTTCAAGAGAGAGGGGAATTCCATTACCTTCCAAGTCAGTCCTTACTACTTTATTAGGAAGTTTCTTTTTTTCTCACATCAAGCACAAATCAACCTTTCTTCAACTTGTACCCATTACTCGTAGTGGGGGCCTTGCAGAAAGCCTAATCCTGCTTTCCCAAGATAGATCTTAAAAGATTATGTGTCTTTATTCCACTCCTGCCCCCCTCCCCAGTCTTTTCTAGGCCTAAACATAGTATAATAGATTTAGAGCTAGAAAAGACTGCAGAGGATAGCTAGTCTACCTCACTTTATAAATTCCTAGTTCCTCTATGCCCAAAGGACTATAAAACTGTGCATACTCTTTGATCCAGCATCCAAAAAAGGAGAAGGACCTATTTGTTCAAAAAATATTTATAGCTGCTCTTTGTGTGGTGGCTAAGAATTGGAAACTAAAGGGACACCCATCAATAAGGGGCTAACTAAACTAGCTGTGCTATATGATTGTAGTGGAATATTATTGTGCTGTGAGAAATGACAAGCCTGATGATTTCAGAAAAACCTGAAAAGACTTACGTGAACTGATGCATAGTTGAAGTGAACAATTGGGAACGTTGAATATAATAACACCAATATTGTAAGATGAAGAACTGTGAATGACTTGGGTATTCTCAGCAGTACAATGAATCAAGACAGTTCCAAAGGACTAATGATGAAACATACTTTCTGCCTCTAGAGTAAGAATTGGTATCGATTGAGTACAGATTGAAGCATGCTATTTCTTTCTTTTTATTTGAGTCTTCTTGTGCAAAATGACTAATATGGAAATGTTTCACATAATTGCACATGTATAACCTATATCTGATTGCTTACTGTCTCAGGGAGGGGGGAGGGGAGAGAAGGAGGATGGGTTAGAATTTGTAACTCAAAACTTTAAATAAAAATTAAAAAAAAAATTCCTAGTTCCTTCAACAGAGGGTATGGTCATGAGGCCCTTAACCATGTTGTTTGCCGTCTTCTGGACAATCCAGTTTATCAGTGCCTTGTTAATAACTTTTTACAAGCATTTATTATCTTACCTTCCCACAGTCTCCCACCCCTCATTGAACAATTGAAAAAATAAAACCTTCACAATAAATACACAGTCATGCAAAACAAATTTTCATATTGTCCGTGTCCAAAAATGAATGTCTCATTCTGCATTTTAAAGTCTATCCTATCTCTGGTAGGAGGTGTGTGGCATGTTTTATCTAAAATCTTCTGGACTTGTGGTTTACCATTGCGTTGGTAAAAGTTCTAAAGTCTTCCAAAGTCGTTTTTCCCTATAATTTTGTTTTCATTGTATAAATTGTTCTAGTTCTATTAGCTACACTCTTCATCTGTTCATAGAGATCTTCCCGCTTTTGTTTTAAAGCCATTCATTTTGTCATTTCTTTTGGCCCAATAATATTTCATGAAATAATGTACCATAAATTATTTAGCCATTCCCCAATAAGTGGACATTCCTTTAATTTCTAATTTTTTGCTACCGCAAAGTGAGCTGATGTTAAATTTTTTTGGACATATAAGTAATTTGTCAATATAGTTCCTCAAGTGGGTGGCATCTAGAATTATGCCCAATAATTCAAATGTTGTTTGTTATCACTTTATGGTGGGATTATATCCCTCATTTAAAAATTATTTTTAAATTAACAAGATTTTATTTTCCCACCCCAACCCCAATTTGAAAGAAAAAAGAGAACCTTTGTAACAACTATGATGTACAGTCAAGCACAACAAAAAATTCTTTCATTGTCCATGTCCAAAAATTCTTAGTACCTAGGTGGTGCAGTGGTTAGTGGTCTGGAGTTAGAAAGACCTGAGTTCAAGTTTGACCTCAGATATACTTCCTAGCTCTGTGGCCTTGGGTAAGTCACTGACTCTGCCTCAGTTTCCTCAATTGGGAGATGGGGATAATTATAGCACCTACTTCACAAGGATGCTGTGAGGATCAAATGAGATAATATTTGCATATTAGTAGTAGTTTCATTCTTTATCTTGAATCCTGTCTCTGACAAGATGTGGATAGCACAGATCATTCATCATCAGTCCTCTTGGAATCATGGTTGCTCCTTGCAGTGTTCAGAGTTTATGCCTTTCAAAGTTGTCTTTACAATATTGTTGTTATTGTATAAATTGTTCTCCTGATTTCTGCTTATTGAATTCTACGCCAGTTTGTACAAATTTTCCCAGGTTTTTTGGAAGCCATCCCTTTCATCATTTCTTATATCACAATATTATTCTATTATAGGCATATACCATAATATGTTCAATCATTCTCCAAATGATGTGACACCACCACTTAATTTCAAGTTCTTTGACTCCCAAATAAAGAGCTGCTTTAGATATTTTTTGGTACATATGGGTCCTTTTTTCTCTTTTGAATTCCTTCATTTTGATGCTATTATCTTTCTTGATGAAGCAGAATTAGATTTTTTTGGCTGGCATATCTTCCTCTTGGCTCATTGAGCTTGCAGACATTAAGTAAGTATTCCTGTCAGTATCATCCTTGCTTACTCCCCTTCCCCTCTGCAATTCGCTGCTTCTAATCTGCTATGAGTTTAGAAACTTGTTAAGCATGTAAAAATTTTTTATAAAGTAAGAGTAAGTAGTCATTGATGGTTATCTTGTGAGTGAAAATAATGAACTTTAGTCCATGGATTCTGTATATATTTAGACTACTTAGAGGCCTTCCTGATTAATTGTGATTTTTCTTCCTTTTCTTGCCGGTCCATCTCTTTCCCTCTAGTTTTCCTTTCCCCCAATACTAAACTTTGACCCCATAAGCCTTGCCATTGTAACTGAATCACTAACCCTCCTGTTCATCTACCATTCCAAACATGCAAATCCTCAAAGTTGGGTAACTTCCACCTTGCAAGTGCTCTGCTTTTGGATAGTACTAGGAGAAATTAATTAGCACCCAGAAATAGAGACATAATACAATCTTATGGTGCTTTCATCTCAGTTGGGCCCTTGTTGCTATTCACAAATCCTTCTCTGTTGTTAC